TAAAACTACCAACTTTTTACTTTATTTAATTGTAATAATAATTTATTCATAAATACATATAAATACATATAAATAAATAAATAGTATACGTTATAAAGTCAGAGACTTGTTCGTATAAATACTATCTAAATTAAAAACATAAACAGAGTATAAACAATATTAACAAGGAATAACCGGTAATATTACATTACATTTTTTAAAGATTGGTAAATATTGATTATAAATAAAACACTTAAAATTTTACATTTTTTTATTAAATTAAAAACTCTCAGGAACAACAAACATCTTGGCACATTGCATCACTCTATAAATGGTAAAAATAACTAACACGGTATTTAAGTTGAAGATGTCCCAGAAAATCAATACATATAGGATGTTCTGGTTAAGACACCTATGCGGTATGTAGTATTGAAGAAACATAAAGTAATAATAAGAACTAGGATTGAACACATACATAAATCACCTTTTTTACAATAGAAATCTGAATACACTTGGCAGAAAAATATTTCAAAAAATTAAAATATGGATATATTAATTTGAAAACGCTTTTTATTGATCTCAAATTGTCTATATAGGTACCTATATCGATGTCTGGTAGTTTTTTTATGAGAAATTTGACTCCTACTTGTCTCCTACTCCTGTCGAGGTTATATAGAGAGATTACCACTAATAAAAGAGTTATACGGGTGAGTCACTTTTGAGACGCACTCGGTATATCTGATGAAAATTTTAATTTTTCAATATGTAGGTATATCAGATTTCCCTTCCCTAGTGTGCATATGAATATTTTAAAGTCTCTAAAGAAATCTTCAAAAAACATTCTTTCCAACCTCGGCATTTATTTAAGATGATTAATCAATTTTGGTCCAAACCAAACCTAATAAACTAGATAGGTTACCCTGTAAATCTTACACATAACCCCAGAAACAGTTCCAACCCCATAACCCCAGAAACCTTCCTTTGACAACAATGTATCTAAATTTGAACCATTTTACAACAACAAATGTTATTAAATAATTATTCAATTATATATTTGTCCCGACAAAAAAAAACATTTCCGACCGCTGCGTAGGGGAAGGACAACGTTTGGCGGGACGCACCACTAAATTACCTCTTCCTCCGTCGGCATTGTCTCTGACTGGTCGAAAAATTGAACGTTATTAGCGGTAATTGGGCGCTTAGACGCCCCAATTAAGCCAATTGATTAATTAAAAACGATTAACGGACGTAGCGAAGCCCTATTATGGCGGGGCAGGCGCCTCAGACCGGTTCTGAGCTTTTTTCGTCATCTATTTCAATTTTTAGCGACGGCTTTTTGTCATTCTTGCCAATAGTGAGCAGAATAATCCGTTATAACTGGTCTAATTAAAGCTAGAGTAAAGAAAGACTCGTTAGCATGCCTGTAATCACATTAGTTCGTGGTAAAACGTTGCTATTTCTGGAGCTATTAAATGAAAGTAGGGGAAGCTAGTGAAAAATATCTTTAAATTAAAATCATTCAATTTAAACATGTAAAAGTTATTTCTTCAAACGTCGCAAGAGTATTAATTTTTGCGACGTGATTGACTATATAAAAACGTCATTTTAACGCTTAAGCTTCACTCGGAACCTCGCAATTAGTGGAATGAATTAGTGGTTTCAATTACACTTTACACTTTTTAGTTTACGATCATTCACAATGTTTAAAAGACACCCGGTACGTAGAGGTAATAATAATTATCAAAAAATTATAAAAACTAAATAATAAAATATAAAATACTTGTCTTACCTTGCTTTTACTACTGCTCCAATCTCCCCCACACTAATTAAATGTCAAATTATGTCAAATAAATAAAACGCCAAGAGTAAATATATCATCTATACTGTATTTATATTCTGATGGACGATGCAAATAACACAATATATGTTCGATTTCGGCCATAATAACTACGTACTGTCAAAATTAAACAAAAAATAGAGAGGCATATATACAATTTAAATATATAAAATATTTATTTATAGAGGACTGGACCACTTGGAGCGATCATCCTGTACATAAAAAAACTAATAGCGCTTTCTGTCAGAAAAAAAGTCAATGTCATTATGTCAAAAATCGAATTGAATGTTCAGAAATAATCAACAAACTTATTATTAATATTCATTTGCCAATTAAATGTATGATGGAAAAAAAAATTATTAACTTCATTAACTATTTTTTTCCTTAAAATTAAGGTTCTGAATAAATCTGTACTGGATAAATTATACAGTATGATCTCAAAATAAATATTAGGACTATTTCCAACAGAAAGCTCTATAAGGAAAACCATTATTTTTCTGGACTCAGTGCTTCAACTAAAAAAACCTTTATTATACAAACTTTAATAGTATATTTATATTTATCTTACATGTTATTAAATAGTGTATATCGACATAATTTTCATTTTTTAGCTAAGATTTTTTTTTAATAATTTGACCAAAGTCAGAATAAGTATCACCATTTTAAAAACCACACAAATTTTGTTTATACCGTATGATCGAAAAAAAAACGGCGTCAAATAAGCCAGGAAATGACAATCAATGATAACTTTGGCTAGATCAGTCTCTCGATGTCATTTACTAAAAATTGACAAACAACTTGTCAAAAATAAACACTAATAATTATAGAAAGATTAAAAAGGTTATATATAGAACGTTATAAAGAAGAGTACGGGCGATGTGTAAATGACGTCTAGACCTTGACCTCGCCAAAATTTTCATCGATTGTCATTCCCAGCCGTGTTGACGCCGTTTTTTTTCTCGATCGTTTGGTATATAATTCTAATTGAAAATTTATCTTTTAGGATTTTATAAGAAATTATTTTATTTATATACAGTATGTTCAAGAAATACTGGCTACATAATATTATATGAGAAAAAATTATTTTAAATTTCTAAGAATATTTTTTTGCTTTTGTGTATCTACAGGGGAACTTCAAAAAAATGGTAAAATTCAACAAAAAACGTAAAATAAGTTAATTGGTTATGTAGCTCATTATAAAAAGTGGTGTTATATTTCACACAGTCACAGCCATCTAACTACAAAAAAAAAATATTTTAAAACCCTCTTTATTTCATGAACACTCTGTATATTATTGCTTAAAAGCGGTAGGCAATGATCAATAATAAAATAAAATGTATTAATGTACTGCTGACATTATCTTGAATGGACATTAACGTTCAAGATAACATCAGTCAAAAATAAATTTTGTTCCACACTGTATAGTTTTTCTATATTTTTGTTGATACTTACCCTGATGTGACTAAAGTTGATTATAGATTCTAGATTTTTTTCTTTCTTATAGTTAGAAATTATATTTTTTTAGTCCAAGAAATTGTAACAGAGTGTATAACAAATAGTTTTATACAAAAAAGACAATATTTCGATATAAAGAAAATATAAATAAATATTTTTGAAATTTCTTGAACTAAAAAAATAATATTTCTAACTACTAAAAAAATCATTGTATTTGATTGTGCTGCAAGTTTTTTGTTTTGGATAGAATAAGTATGCATTTAATTCCATTATGTTTCATTTAATTTCATTGACTTTTTGTAATTCACCTAGAATTTTAGAAACATAGTGCTTGATTCATATTATATTCGATACCAATTAAACTTTTACTTACCTAATCGAGGGCGTGATTGGCCAACTGTGGACATATTCGGCGCCGGGCTAACTAATTATTGGAATTTAAATTTCGTGCTGGAGATTCAAGTGCTAGCTCTGATGTAAAAAATGTCAAGTTGCCAGATTTATTTATTTATTTCCTGACATTGTCATTCGTTTTGACACTTTAGTTTTGTATAACTAGTTTTTGATTTAAATATACAGGCTGTCCCAGAAAAAAGTACAAATATTTTAACTGATAGTAGGTATATTTCGGCCTCAGAAACACGCCTATGAGGTCTTTTTTGTGAAAAATTTTTTGAAAATTTGGAATTTTTTGAAAAAATGTTTGGAAATTTTTTTAGTTTTAACTTAAAAAACATATTTTTTTGATAATATAGCAACATGGGTAGTAGAAAAAGTATTTTTTGTTTAAATTTTCAAAGTAAATTAACTTGGTTATTTTGGACTTTTTTTTTGAAAAATCGTAAAGAGTAAAAGTGTTTCTTTTGACCAGATCTACTATCCCTTAAAATACATTCACTTATTTCTGGGACACCCTGTATAGTGTTGTGATACTTTAAGCTTAGAAATGTTTATACTAGCAGACCTTGCAGTCGAACATTGTTCTTTTTAGAACCTCTTTTAGTGCGAAGTGGGTACAAGATAGTTAATATATCTTTAATTAATTTATTTTGGTTTCCTAAAATATTTTGATTAAAAGAAAATATGTAAAAGTAGGCAACGCTGTGCCGGTCAAGCTTAATCACGTGACTAAAAGTTTATTTGATAGGAACTACAAATATTTTATTTGTTATTGTCTTTGAAAAACAGTATCGTCCTGAAGACTAAAGAAAGAAAAAAATCAGCAAAATTCTACAATATATTTTTATATATTTTATAGGCTTTGTTGCTCCCAGCTAAAATCTAATTACGCCACTGGATTTTACTATATTTTTATTAAATAAAAGGTAGAAAAATGCAACATTTTAAAATTCGCCCTGAATTACATGAACTAAGAGGACTAGGACAAATTTGTGTATGACATAACATAGTTTCATAAAAAATAGCTAAACGGGACACACTGTACACTTATTCTATCCAGAATCCTCACAGCACAACGCGGCACAAACCTATACAGGGTGTCCCAGAAATAAGTGCAAGTATGGTGGACTGGTGGAAGTGCAACTGGTGGTATAGTTTTCAACCCCAGAAAAACGCCTAGAGTTCTTTTCGCGAAAAAAAAATTTTGGAATTTTATTTGAAATGATGAATGATGGAATTTTATTTTGAATGATTATTTTTTTTGAAAATTTTCAAAGTAAAATAACTCCGTTATTTTGGACTTATTTGAAAAACGATAAAGAGAAAATATGTTTCTTAAATCCAGATCTACCACCCCCTAAAATACTTGCACTTATTTCTGGGACACCCTGTATTATGCATTATCCAAGCGCGAGAACTGTACACGAAAACCGTACTCAAACATAACCTAAAAAACATATTGCAACAATTATCTGTCTTCCCCCCAAAATTTTCTCAGTTCTATTAAATAAACTATTCACACGAAAATCTCTTTAGTATTTGTCCCCCCGTATCACGTTAGCCTGGACGGCGAATAAGGCCTGTGCAGCACAGGCCCCCCACCTTGAGGACTCGGGGGGGCTATCCGGACTATCCCCCCGTGGGGTCCCAGTAGGTGAGTGTGAGGCGATGGATTCGCCATCATCCGGGACTGCTGCGAAGCTACCTGGACTTGCAGGGGGGTCGTTAAGGGGGGACGTAGTGCTAAAGGGGCTTCGATTTTGGACAGTTCCGGAGGTGGGGGACACGGTCGCAAGACTCCGCTGAGGTTCATCGGAGGTGAAGGTCGGAGGGTTGTTTGTGGAGGAGTGCGGTCCAACCGGATGGGACTGTTGCCACTTAGTTTATCCTGTAAAGAATAATTTGAATTAATACACACTTTAACCCGCTTTAACACTCTCTCTAAAAACATACAGGGTTGTTCACCACATACGACACGGACTATTGCAGCTAAACGATTAGATTTTTATAAATTGTAAGTTTTGGGTTCGTTGAAGGACTATTAGAGCTACAATTTAAAAATATTTTTACAAGATACAGAGTGTACCAAATAAGTAAAAAATATTATAGTTGTATTTTTTTAAATGGAACACCCTGTATATTATTATATTTTTGGATTCTACGATTGAAATAAAGGTAAATTTGATTAAGGTTTATCACACTTAAACCTTACCATTTTTTAAATATTTTCAATTTTATGAAATTGCAGTAAAAATTTTAAGGCTTCATTTCTCCAAGGGTATCAAAGTTTTTAATACTAAATATTTACTGACGATTATTTATTGATCAGATATTGTGTTTGGTTGGCAATAATAAAAATTTTACTACCTTATACAGAGTGTCCAAAAATGTATATTAAATAATTACTAGCTTTAAACGGCAATAACTTGTTTAATTTAAATAGAACACCCTATATATTTTAGGTGAATCAGATGCACAATATAATTGTCTATCAAATTGTATTATACGATTTTTACCCATCTCTTCAAGTTTTCGTAGAAAATGCATTTTCTTTTAATTTAGACCTCATTTATCACTATACCCATGGAATATTGACATTTCAGATTTTTTTAAAGCAACATATATGTACAAAATGTATTGCAAGCCCATTGGTATACAAAAAAAACTATTTAAATCTTTGTGAAAGAGTATACCAATTAAATATACATATCCATTATTTCCGACCAAAAATTAGTTTTAGTTTAATTAATAAAGTATTCTAAATATAAATGTGTGTGTGAATTTGGCTCAGAATCAATATTATAATAAGTTATGAAGATGAACGTTTCTTAATAACTTTTTCTGAAATATTTGCCTTTGAACAAGATGGTATAACGACTTAGAGTCATTTTACTATTAGAAACATGCCTTGCCTCAGCAATACTCCTATACAGTATGTCCCAGGATGTTCTTTACAAGACGAAAAACCTTTTATTATTGACACATTTTGAGAAAAATACATTCATCATAAAAATTTTTGCTTATTCTAAAACGGTTAATCTCGTTCATACTTTTCCAAATTTCCATACAGTTTTAGAGAAAATTATAAAAACCATGAAAATCTGATTGATTTTTCCTAAGTCCTAAAAATTGAAATGCGTTTCTATGGTAATATATAATTTGGATTTTATTCAAAAAAATCAACCTTACTTTCATGCTTTTTTTCATTTTCTCTAAAACGGTATGGAAATTTGGAAAGTATATACGGGATTAACCATTTTAGAACAAGCGAAAATTTTTATGAAGAATGCATTTTTCTCAAAATGTCGATAACGAAAAATTTGTCCTCTTGTAAAGACAATCCGGGGACATACTGTATATGAAATAGAGTTTATTATTTTTGCAATGTCACTGTCATTGAAAAGTCATATTTTTATTGGTTTTTTGTCAGTTACTCTAGCAGATCTAGTTCATCTCTACCATGTTTAATTAATGTAACAATAGCCGATAACTAACAATAATAATATGAATTTTAACATTCCAAAACCAATAAACACTATTGTAGACTACCTTCGATTTGTAGAGTAAGATTTGTTTATTTATTTTATTTGTCTGAGATAAAAAAAACACTTACCCTAACCTCATAATCGTTGGAATCGACGTCAATAGGACTCTCATCGCCTCCTCCTAATCTTAAATTGACTACGTCGGAGTAATGACCTGCTCCCCCTGGAGGAGAGTCATCAAGTTTTGAGCTACCTCTATCCAGACGATAACTAGGTGGTGTACTGGATTGTCTATCCAGTCTGGAACAAAACAAAATCGATATAGTCCTAACGTCATTATTTAGAATAAATAGAAAAAAACTCTCTATTACGTATTTTTAAAACCAAACAAAGATACTGAGATTAGCTTGAACGAACGAATGTCTCCTTGATGATTTGGGATTGCTATTCAGTATGAAAACAAGCTTCTTAAATGCAATTTTTACAAAAATCTAACCAAACATAGAAATAGAGCGGTTCTTGTTGGTTAGGCAATTTTTTTTAAAAGCATAAAACCAATGAGAAGTTTAGAAAAATAAAATAATTTATATTTTTGTTATACACTTAAATCTAAGAGAATTTTATATTTTAAGAATCTATCACGCTGTACTGTTCGAGAAAATTTAGTCCAAACATAACGAATATTTTGTTGACATTTGGTTGTAAACGTTGACCATCAAATCATTTTGGGACAGAGTTTACCAAAAATACTTTTTATATGTATCTACTAGTGGGTAAATGAATTATATTACGACTTTTCTTGGAACTTTAGTTTCGTAGATATACATTTAATCGGACCTTTTTAAAAAAAATAATTTTATTTTTCAGAAACTATTTGAGACAGAGTTTACCAAAAATGCTTTTTATATCTACTAGTGGGTAAATGAATTTGTAGATATATTACGACTTTTCTTGGAACTTTAGTTTCGGAGATCAATCAATTTGGTTGTTTGTGACCATCAAAACCTTAAAAATAAATAAGTTGTCTAAAAATGTGCCGAACTCTTATTTCATTACTTTTTCGGACAAGCAAATGGTCACTTAATAAAAAATACTTACTTATAATTTGGAGGAGTATGCGCTCCCCCAAACCTAAACTGCGGAGGCATAGGTCCGGGACTATGAGGCCCAAACCTGAACGACGTCATCGGATTGGGACTCTGAGGTCCCAATCGGAGTGGCGTGGGTGAGCCTACTGGCGAATGGGCGCCCAAAGAAATGTCAGAATCGCTGTCCGACGGGACTGGACTCAAGGGTGGCCTCCTGTCTCCACCGTGGTGAGCCAGTTGAGCCGCTAGCTGCTGCTGTTGCATTCTGAAACAAAGAAAAACGTCTGGTTAATAGGGTATACCAGGGTTGTTTTTAGGGTTCCGTACCCAAAGGGTAAAAACGGGAGTAAAAAGTAAGAATTTTACATAGAATCTTTCAAGTTCTCGGTGGTCGCATTTAAAGCGATAGGACTTTACTGCTATGACGTTGGAGCCGTTGTAAGGTAGGTTCGAATCCTAGGCAAGAAGACTTTTTTTAATGTTTTTTTTTTATTTTTACGTATTTTTACATATTTATTATTGATTTGAACGGAATCTGCGGTTTATTTTATGCAATCTTCCTTTTTTCTCAGTGTACTATTCACAAAAAAAAGACTCTCTGCTCTGAAACCAATACTGCCTTTTGTACAGGCTAAACAAAAGTAGTAGGAGGATTTTTTTTCAATAGTTACGGGTATAGTTTTGTTCTGAGGGTATTATATGGTTTAAATAAGGGTGTACGTTACACGTTGATTGATGGTAGAATGGACGATGTAAAGAATGCGATGGGGTAACTTGAGTCTTTTTTTTTAAATAATGTTCAGTAAAAAGAGCAATTTTGTGCGCAAGTGGTTTTTATGAATGATGGTTTTCTGGTATTTTAAATTTGGTTTTTGTCTATAAATACACTCTTATGGTTATGCCTAATTCTTTTAAAGTATTTTATGTTTTTATCGAGTTTTTGATTGCTTTAGAAGATTGTAAGTAATCTTTATGCATGTTATTAATAGTAGGTCAATTCCATATACAGGGTGGTCCGAACTGTATTCCGAAAACTTCGGCAGCATATTCTGCAAATAAAAATAAGTAAAAAAGTTCGTATAAATGTATGCCCTAAAATGTTTAATTTCGAAGATACAGTGTAGAAGTTGCATTTTTATTTTGATTTTTTCCAAATAATTTCTGAAGTAACGTCAATATTTGGATAAAATTGGTGTCTGAAAGTTTTTTGCCATGAGAAATTTGATTTTGAAGTCAATATTACTCCTGTTAAAGAGTAATAACTTTTCGTCCATACCTGTATAAAACTACTGAGTAAAAAAATATATATTTACGACGTTTTTTACGTAAAAAAGGTCTTTTGGTGAAAATTGCTACCGAGTAATGGTTCTGGAGATATTTGGAATCGAAATTATCAATACCTGTCATCATTGACATAAATTAAATATGTTGACTAAATAGTTATTAAACTGAAATCAAAAAATTTGAAATGATTTTGTGCCAAAAGTTCAACAGAAACTGTTTTATCTTTATTTTTTGGCAGAAAAATTTATGATTAATTTAATAAAATAAAAATTTCCCAAATTTATTATTTCTGTCAAATAACTATCTACTCAACGTGTTTATTTTTTGTTAAAGTTGCTCGTAGCGTTTTTTACCAATATACTTGTAAGCTTAGGTATAATAAGAAATAAGAAAAATAATAATAAATGAAAAAAGTTAAATTTAATATTTCAAAAATTACCTACATATTGTTCGTCTAAGATAAAAAAAAATCGTAAGTATTCAAAATCTGGAAATTCCCGTTATATGTTAAAAGCAAACCTTCAAAATATATGCCCTTGTTCAGCAAAGGGCTGCCTGTGTCAGACCAAGCGTTAAGACGGGGCTTTCAGAGTTCTCTGTCGAAAGTGCGGAAATACCCTTTAGGCTTAGAAGGAACCCCCGCGGCGTGGGGTGGTCTGTTTTGGCCCTTCGCCATGGCAAATTGCCCTTAGGGCTCTTAAGACGCTCGGGGTGTTAATCCTGGGACGGCGTAGGCCGGCTAAACTGGGAGGATTAGGCACAAAAGACAACGTCATTATATGATAATGGTCAGAGTGTATTAAATACTTCTTAAAAATTTGTTATTATTATTTAATTTTTATTTTTTTTTTTTCGTTATTATTATTTAATTATTATTTAAATTTTATATTATTATTAAAGCACTTTCTGTATCAGTACCATTCATATCTCTGGTATCAAATCATTTACTAAACACTACACTGCGTACATCGAAGATTATATTATTATATTTATACAGGGTGCGTGGTTATTGTTCAAAGCACGTCGACTTTTTTCCCATGACGTCCCAGTTTTTTCCCGATTAACAAGCAGATTGTGCGCGATGCTATCAAGTTACTGTTGTACCGCCCTAATCACAGTGTATCGAACTAATGCCCTTTGTGCGCGAGAGGTTCGCGCTCAGCGGAGACCCTTTGTGAAGGGATTTTCGGCGAGGTACGCCTCCAGGAGGGCTAAACGCGTTCTAAGCGTATCTCCCCTCCTATTTCATCAGAAAAAAAAAACGTAGTTGATGCAGTCATAACAGTTGTTACGCTGTGAATATTGACCGTTTATAATATAATTTTTTTTCTAATTTTTTGAAATGAAAATAGTGATCGAAAAAGGTGATCAGATATGGTAATCGCAAAACAATTTCAAATACACGTAATGATCAACTTTGAGTGACAAGCGATGGCGACAGCGCTGCCAGATTGTGATGGATTTATGAGATGAATCTTAATTTAAAATTGACAAACAATAAATTTATTATATCAACAATATATTATATTATAACAAACAATATATTATATTATATATATATTTTTTAAATATTTTTACGTTTTTTAATTTAATAACTAATATTTTAGTAATTAATTGATTTATAGCTTATTTTACTTATTACATATTGGCAAAAACTAGTCCATTATGAAGATTATTCTAAGCATTATTTATATTATCAGGGAAGCAACAAGTTCTTTGCTTCGGCATATTTTCAACACACAATTTCAAGAAATGCTGTACAAAAACTCAAAAATTTAGTTCTTAAAAGTACAATTTATAAAAAGATAGTACTGAAGCTGTGGTTGGTTCCTTGTGAAACATCGATGAAATATTACTATTTTAATAAAACACGCTTTTAGATGTATCAAAAAACTTTTAATAAGAGCAACTTTAACTCTACACATGTACCCATTTCTCTCGAAAATCGACATCTATGAAAATATGAACCCTTCCCGGACACAAACGGTACATTGTGAGACAGGAAATTGTAGAGAGAAACAAGCCCTATAACATAGGATACAACATTTTAATGAACAGTGCTTTCCATAAAATCAATAAAATGAAAAATATACGAAATAATATACATGTTCTGATTTCTTTCGAAAATCGACATCTATGAAACTATGAACCCTTCCTGGACACAAACGGTACATTGTGAGACAGGAAATTGTAGAGAGAAACAAGCCCTATAATATAGGATACAACATTTTAATGAACAGTGCTTTCCATAAAATCAATAAAATGAAAAATATACGAAATAATATACATGTTCTGATTTCTTTCGAAAATCGACAGCTATGAAAATATGAACCCTTCCTGGACACAAACGGTACATTGTGAGATAGGAAATTGTTGGGAGAAACAAGCCCTATAACATAGGATACAACATTTTAATGAACAGTACTTTCCATAAAATAAATAAAATGAAAAATATACGAAATAATATGCATGTTCTGATTTCTTTCGAAAATTGACATCTATGAAACTATGAACCCTTCCTGGACACAAACGGTACATTGTGAGACAGAAAATTGTAGAGAGAAACAAGCCCTATAACATAGGATACAACATTTTAATGAACAGTACTTTCCATATAATCAATAAAATATGTTTCGGCTTGTTTAAGAACTGGTAAGCCTTTTTTAAGAACTTGGTAATGTCGATTTGGTTACTTTTTAAACTCTTTTTGCTAATAAAAATCGTGATGTCACTTTATATCGTAAATTACCACCTCAAAGGGATATATATACCCTGTCTCGCCACTCCGTTTCAGCGTTTCCTATAGCGCCATTCTCTTTGCTTCCTCGATTTGATTATCGATGATACAAGATCATGATCGTCAATCTCTGCCCCGGAGGCTTCTCATTTTCGCGACACAAACTAGGTTAGTGCTTCTCGGTAGAAAATCGGTTAAGAAGGACCACAAAGGGCCCCATAATTGCCCTACGCCGGCTAATCCCTCATCCAGACTTAACGAACACTTAATTTTGACGGCAAGGCAAACCAAATAATCCCTAATCGCGTTTGTTTTGGCTAGGAAATGCGTGTACGCTCACTGGATTCAATTCTGGGTGAATATTGAAAATGGGGAATATAGGGAATATGAAGAGGGAATAAGATGACGTAAAAAAATAATAATTTCTTAAAAAATCATACAGGGTGTTCCAAAAAGTTGGGTAATTTCTTAACCACGATTCTGCTTAAACTGCTTGACGTAAAAAGCTTATTTTTGGCAAACGGATTTTTCGAAAGTCAAATTCCAACGAGATGAAACTACCCCTGAAATATTACCAAGTTATATAATAATATTGCCATGTTGTTTTTTCTCATGCTGACATAAATGTGAGAAAATTTTATCCAGTTTGTATGTTAATGGAAATTCTTGCTTTGCTTTATCATCACCATTACAAATGATTAATTCGACGCGAACGAAGTCGCTGGTACACGCTAGTATGTCTATAAAATGCGTTTAGATATGCCTTGCAAAACTCCTGTATATCCGTAGTATACGATTATTTTAACTAAAACAGAATTATTAACACCGATTCATTATCATTATAATTACATTCTGAAACAACAACAGAAACAATCCTATAAACAATAATAAAATACAAGTCTAGCTTATCTAATAGTGGTTTAATCCTCGGTGTTATTTTTTACTCCTATCGAGCGCCTTATTAAAACGTTTCGAGGCTTTTGTTTGGCTCGTCCTCAACGATTAAATCCATGATACGTTGCTCCGAAGTCCGAACGAACCAGATCAGTCGCTCGCGTAATGGAAAAGACCAGTTCTAGGTCGCATTATCTAGATTAGTGTCAGTCCATCCTCTTAGTTCTTCTTTGGCAAGATTACGAAATTAAAAAGCTACGCCAGTAGTCAAAACTGGAGATTTCGGTGCCACCGGGATAGTAACAAGAAGAAAAAACATCATCAGAATTTTAGGAAATTTTTTATGTTAT